AATTGTAAAGGTTTTTGTAAACTATGAAATATGCTAATTATTGGCTGATGCTTATGATTTCCTGAATTGATTGTTATGAACGTATAATCCAATGTATAATTGAGATGCTCACCCTTACTGTTGAATATTTCAGATTGAGGAGCTTCGTTCAGGTGCTTGGCGAAGGCTCGTCGTTTCTAGTTTATTTTCGTTTTAGTATTGTCCGGGTCATGCTCTGGTAGTTGTAACTCCGGGAACGTTTGTTTGTCGAGCTGCTTTAGTCAGACTCGTCTATTTCCTTATATTTGTTATAATATGATGTTGACATTTTTCCAGGTGTTAATCCCTGATGATTTTGAAAAATATTATAACATTGGTTTTATTAAATAAATTATTCCGCTGTGTAAACATGTATGAGTTACTACTAAGATTATGCATGACAGGAATTTGTGTTATTTAAAGAGAATTGTAGCATCCTCGATTATACATGTACTCTGAAATTATGATTTTAATAATTGCGAAAATTTATTCGGGGTTTTTAGAGGTTGTTACATTTTGTCTGGGTCTGCAGGTCAGTGTGTTTGAAGCAAGTGTGTGTGATGAACATGTCTGTGTTGAAGCATGTGTGTGCATCGAAGCAGGTGTATCGAATCATGCATATTTTTATTCCAACATTTTTAGGGTATGTATAATTATTTCTTTAAAGGAAAACACAAAAAATTAACAATGAAGGACATGGTTATTACATGTTGGCTTTGAATATGAATCAAATAAGATGTTTGCAATGGAAGAGTTAAAGTCAGAAAGACTTACCTCAAAGCTGGTGTGGCTTTCGAACTTGAACTGCTTCCTGGACGGTTCTGGAATTCGAAGAGTTGTCACAGAGGGTTTGCTTTTGGTTCTAAGATTTGTCACAAAAGGTTTTCTTTGAGTTTGAACAAAAACTTCTACGTGTGGGGTGTTCTGGATAGTTGATTTGTGAGAGTTGGAAAGATGAGATAATGGATTTTGATTTTGTGTTTGTAGGTGAAAGTAGAGTTGATTTTTGAATGAGCAAAAATTACAAAGGTTTCTGTTTTGTTTCCCAGTTCCTTTTTCTCTCCTCTTAGCGTCTCCATCCCCCTTGATATTGTGAAGAAAAGTTTATTTATAGAGGAGCTTTGATGTGGTTTTAGGGGGAAATCAAATAACATTTGAATCATTTGGGTATACTGTCCCCTTGTTTTCTTCGATTCAACTCTTATGTGCCTTTTTTTGTGTAAGTATGGGACTGAGAAAATGCAGGCTCAGCAGTATTTTGGAGTTTTGTAGCAGCTTGGTGCAGGACTGTTTCATAGTAGTACAACTGACTGTTTGAAATATGTTTTTGGGGCTTGCGAACTTGCTTTGATCGAAGAATGGAAAAACAAGTCTCAATAAGAATGGTCTGAAGAGTGAGCTTCGAAGGATCGGAGCAAGTGTTTTGTACGGGGTTGAACAGTTTTGTACTTCTGTCAAAGGGTTTATAGCTTATGGGTCGAAGCAAGCTGCTCGAAGTAAGCACATTGCCCCAGTCAAAGCTTGGATCGAAGGAAGGCTACTGCCCAATAGAAGTTTTTGGTTGAAGGAAGCACATTCCCTTAGTCGAAGCTTGGATCGAAGAAAGGCTACTGCCCAATCGAAGCTTGTGATCGAAGGAAGCACATTCCCTTTGTCGAAGCTTGGATCAAAGCAAGCTTTCTCGAAGGGAGTTATTACCCAGTCGAAGCTTGCTAGATCGAAGCCAACTTTCTCGAAGTTGCCAATACCCAATCAAAGCTTGCTAGATCGAAGCAAGCTTTCTCTTCTTTGATTTGTTGAAAGGCACATTAGCATCTTCAATTTTTTTTCATTTTCTTTATTTCTTTGAACAGGTTTTTGTAATCACACATGCGAGAGAAATTTTGAGAAAATAAGAGGGCAAATTTTGGGGTACAACAATGTGCATAAGCTACACTACCAAATACTTTGAGATGAGAAAATGTTGGCTTATGTCCGCTCCATACTTCTTGTGGTGTTTGATCTTCTAACTTCGAATATGGACATTGATTCTGAACATAAATAACACATTGTACAACTTCTGCCCAGAATTATTTTGACATGTTTTTGCTCTTAAGCATTGATCGAATCACGTCAAGAACTGTTTGATTCTTTCTTTCAGCCACACTGTTTTGCTGAAGTGAATATGGCGCAATTAGGAATCTCCTTATGCCCTGCTCTTCATAATACTTCATAAAGGTTGTCGAAGTGTACTCACCACCTCTGTCAGATCGAACTGCTTTGATGTGTCTGTCAGTTTCCTTCCCCACCATTACTTTTAACTTTTTGAACACCTCTAATGCTTCAGACTTTTCTTTTAAGAAATAAAACCAGGTCTTTCGTGAGAAATCATCGATAAAGGAAATGAAGTACCTTTTGCCACTGAAAGATTCCGGAGTGATTGACCCACATATGTCGGTATGAATCAATTCAAGAATATATTTAGCTTGATATTCTGCCTTCTTTTGAAATGAGGTTCTTGTTTGTTTTCTAAGGACACATTCTTCACAAAACTTTTCTTCATAATCCATGTCTAGTAACCCACGCACCATGTTCCTTTTTGCCAACCTTCTCAAACCAGCACGATGTAGATGACCTAAGCGTAGATGCCATAGTGAAGCTTTGTCTTTCATAATGACTTGTAGACATATCTCTCGAACGTTCCTTAGATTCAATTTGTACATTTAATTTCTCTCCATTTAGACACGAGCAATCAGATGTCCCACTCTATCCTTCAAATGCAGTATCTGATCTTTTATAAGTATCGAAAACCTTTTTTCTGCAAGTTGTCCCAAACTCAAGATATTGGTCTTGAGATTTGGTACATAATAAACATCTCGGATTCAACCAATCAAGTCATCCTTCTGTAAGTAACAGATTGTACCCTTGCCTTCGACCTTCACTTTCAATGCATCTCCGAAAGACACATTACCATCTTCAATTTTTTTCATTTCTTTAAACAAGTGTTTGTAATCACACATGTGATTACTTGCTCCTGAGCCAAGATACCAAATATTGTCATTATTGGTGTTGATTTCATTTTGATCCATCAAGAGAAAACCTTCATTCGCTTCAGCTTCCAAAGCTAGATTGGTTTATTCTTCAACCTTCTTTTCGATTCGACAATCTTTTGCAAGATGTCCCACTTTATAACAATTATAGCATTTGTAAGAATTGCAATCCTTCGCGTAATGACCATACTTCCCACACTTGTAGCATTCAAAGTTGGAGTAGTTCGACCGACCACCTCTTTGACCACGTCCTCTGCCACGCCAATTTTGCTGGTTCGATTGTCCTATCTCGAAGTTGTTGCCTCGACCACTTCAACCACTGTCTCAACCTCCACGGCCACGTCCTCTTCCTCGAAAGTTTTGATAAAAGAGTACCTTGTCGTGTTTGATTGACTCCTTGGCTTGATTTTCTTCCTCGACTGCTTCTTCCTTCTTTTTCATCTTATGTTGTTCATGTGCTTCGAGAGAACCAGCGAGCTCTTCGACTGAGAGCGTTGAAAGGTCATTCGACTCTTCTATTGCACATACAATATTCTCAAATTTATCTGTTAAAGATCTCAAAATCTTTTCAACAACTCGTGCATCAGTTATTGTTTCGCCATTTCTGGTGAGTTGGTTCACCACCTTTTGTACACGCGTGATGTAGTCAGATACAGTTTCTGACTCCTTCATCTGCATCCTCTCCAATTCGCCACAAAGAGTTTGGAGTCGAACTTGCTTTACTCAGTCTGCTCCTCTGAACACTTTCTCTAACGAGTCCCATGCTTCTTTCGACGTAGTCAAACCGACAATCTTTTCGAAACCTGATTCGTCAACAACCCTGAATAACATGTATAATGCCGTTTTATCCTTCGATTGCGTCTCTTTCAACGCCTTGTTTTGAGCTGTCGTATATTCCGCAACATCTGTTGGTTCTTCAAACCCATCTTTGGTCACCTCCCACGCGTCTAGAGATCCAAGAACAACTTTCATTTGGATACTCCAGTTTTCGTAATTTGACTTCGTTAGTCGTGGCAAGACATTTGATTCGTCATGTTTGCCATTAGCTCTGATGTCAATTTGTTAGAAAGGAAGCAAATACTTTATAATTTTTTATCAAATAGAATACAACCTTGGTCTTTATATAAACTCAAAGATTTCTGCTATTCTAGGAAAACAAATAACATTAATAAATACTATTACATGTCACTATCTCTTGGCCTTCCAACTACAAGAGATTCTTAATCTTTCCGCTAACTTATTAATAGAAATCCACTAACTATAACATTAAAGTTTATTCAACATAGACAAATTTAAAGAACAGACCGGGCATAATTTATAATGCATTTAGTTTAATCATTGCTTTCCAATGTAGAGGATCTATTAGTGATATGGCATTTACATATGAACCATATCTTACACACATATCATTCCAGAGCATTCTGTGCAATCATATCAATACTCAAATTAGTTATTAAGAGTTTCAGATTTTGACTTGCCTTTTCAACAAACAGAAGTAAAATTGTAAAACAACACACTGATTGAGCAATAACAAGTTGCTACAAATGTTTCAAAAGAAATACTAAATAGACATCAAGAGGGCCATCAATGCAATATCTGGAGAGAATGTAGCACAAATAAGCTTCTTTCATCCTACCAGCCTGACATGTATCATCAGTAATGTTGTTGGATTTGATCAGAGTTGAATTTGTAGATCTAAAATTCAATAGCAGTAGTTATTATCATTGGATATCATAATAAAATATCTCATTTCCAAAAACATCAAGGTATACATGAATTGATGTCATCAGCCCAAGAAAAATATTCAATATATATTGATTTGCAAGAATATTACTATATGCCTAAAATATAAATAGATAACTGAGTTCTAAACAAGGTAATAGGATCCGTCGAAGTCAAGTATATGAATAAGTATAAATTCAAACAAGTATATCGTTGGAGAAGGACTTACATTCAAGAGGTTGGCACCAAGCTTTCGACATAATCCCTCATAGAGAACCAACATATGTTATTGTTGATTCTAGTTTTCCTTGCTCTTTCAGTTCTCCTGTTATAGAGAATGGCTCGGCTTTGTAGGTTGTTTGCAAATACTACTACATCACCATCCTCACTAACATGCAATGGCATTAACCTCAAACGCAGAAAATCATGTTCAAATTTATAATTCATTCCGAGATTGTGATAATAGAGTTTAAGTAATTTAGTCCACGAGTTCTCATTTCCGAATTCTGTCATCCTCCATATAAAAAAATGTGTTCCCTCGACATCATGGTAAAAACAAAGGGAGTTCATCAACACACAAACACTGGGTGCTACAAGTGGTATCACTTTCTCAAAACATGAAGGGGGATGCATCTGAGTGTATGTCAAGGTACTTAGATTAAGTGAAACAATAACATAGTCATCAAAAAATTTATCATTTCTTGGGTTGGTTCCCAACCAGTTAACAGCGCAACTAAAATATACACCACCATACATTCTTGAAGCATGAGAAATTAACGCATCATGCAAAGCAGGAAAACTTTGAATAGTTCTCCAATCATTTTCACCCAAACTAAAAACTCTCACCTCTCGGTTATTAGCGGTATTTAGCCCCGCAACCTTATAAGTGTCTGTAGTGTTATCATAACCAAACACAAAATTCCATGCACACCATTCAAACTTACCGTCGTGCAAAAACCCTAATTTATCAGATATTGTTCTTGTGGCAGGGTTCCAAAAACGGAACCACCACTTTGTTTGAGAATAACCTAGCAAACAGACCAATCCATTGCAGGAACCAACAACATGGCGACAATCCTTATCATTCAATGGGTAGTCAGGATAGTTGCGAATGGTGAAAGAACGGTCTTCTAGCAAATGATTAACAGAAAAAGGTACGAAACTGAAATCATCATGATCACGTTCGGATTTCATGTGAGAGACGACATAGGAGTATGCATTTTGTTGAGATCGATGAAGGTGCATTTTGATGAATGTAGGATGAGAGATAAGGGTTTTCCAGAACTTACATACGCACTTCATTTGCATCAGAAGTTTGACAGGAAGACGGGATTTGATATCGGCGATCAGCTCGTCGTGGAGGATTGGATTGGATTGACAGAGGTCACACGGCGGAGTTTCTGGCTGGGTATTCATGATAGCGGTGCTGTTTGAAATTTGATTATCAGAAACTTCAAATCACGAACTTAAATAAAAGCCAGACTTGAGTTGTTGAGTGTATAAAACCGGGAAAAGCCAAAAACTATTAAATAAAAGTAGGAAAGAAGTTTTAAAAAGTTAAACTTTTGCCCTTTTTTAATTGCTTGTAGCTTGATTAATATGTTTTACGTCAGTTTTTTGGATTATAAATTTTGGCTTCAAGTGATCAAACCAATGACCAAAGCAAGATGGACATAGCTGGTTTGTGGTTTTTGGTGTTTCATAACATTGATTTTGATGATTTTTTGGTCATGGTTTTGTTGGTATGAAATCTACTTGAATACGATGAAATGAGGTTTTTAAGTTACATCAAAAGTGGTGTTCCGTTGATAAATGGTGTCATTCGAGAAAGATTACCCAATTATAATAAATATGTAACTTTACACTCCTCTAGCAACGCTAAAATACCATATAAAGAATTAGTGTAACCGATTACATTAAATGTGTAATCGGTTACACACTATAAGAAAAACTCTTTCATACTACGTGATTTAACGACGTGATAATCATGTGGTAAAAAAAATTGCGACGTGTTTATCACGTCGTTACGTATTTTTAATATTAAACAAATAGCAATCACGTTAGTACATGGGAAGTAAGAGATTTAAAAAAAAAAGTATCGTGGAAAACAGGTTGCAACATAAAAATTAAAATATAAAATAAATAAAAGCGTTAGGGTTGTACAGGGAGGAAGTTTGAATTTTTCAAAATTTGAGTTGTGACGTGAAAATCACGTCGTAACATTCATTTTAAAAATCAAAAACTTTAACTTAGAAAATTGACTGACACGAAGTTGATGGGGAACAGGTTGACTGACACCTTTAGTTAGTGTCATGATAATCAAGTCACAACATTGTTACCCTGAAAAATCTTAAGGAATTCAAGTGCATGTGATAAATGAAAATACTCTCATAAGTTAAAAGACACCCTCTAAAATAAGGGTTTTTTGGGAAACAGGAGCCAATATGTGAAAAGTGGGTTTTTATTAAGTTAGAGTTAATACTAGCAAGGAGCCATGTTGAAACTGTCAAAAATTGGATCACATCGACTAGGAAGAAATAATAGAATGTGTCAGGAGGATCGAATTGGTTTGGTCGACCAAAAGGATAAAAGAGAAGGACTTGGTCGAAGGTGGTATTAATCGACAAAGAAGGGTATCTTGGACTTAGAGAGAGCGTGATTATTCTCTGCCAGAAAGAAAGCGTCGAAGAAAGGAAGAGGTTGTTTATGTTTAAGAAGATTAGGGGAAACGTGGGCAGTTACCAACAACCCACGACGTGTTCAAGCGCAAAATAAGTGGAACTTCAAAATTATGAGCGGTTACCGGCAATCCACGACGTGTTTTGAGCGCCAAAGAGGTGGCAACATCTAGTGACGCAGTTACCTCAAGATATTAATATTAGCCGTAGATTTTATTTAGGTAGTTACTTTTGTAAACACTATAAATAGGCAGATTTTTTATAATTTAGGTGTGTTCACTTGTACTCTCAAATCACTTGGCAAGCTCTCTTATTCCAAGCGCCAGGAAATCAAGAGTAAAGAGTGCTTGATGTACGTAAATCACCATGTTTATTTCAATGTAAATCTTTTATTTTTCAGTTATATCTCTTGAGTGTTTTATATGTTTTCTCTTTGCTATCGAGCAAGATCTATACATTGTCTTCTATTTTGCATGAACAATTCGACACTATTTGTGGGTCACGAGTCACCTCTCAGTTAGTTTAGTGAGTCTCGTTGTGTACGAATATCTTCTGTCGATCACAAGTTACCAGGCATTCGATTAAACCATAGTATGGAAAACCATTGCACCCGTTTCCCCAGTCAAAAGAAAGCCATTTCTCTTGACTGACATTTCGACGAAATAGGTGTGATAACAAAAATCTTAGCACGCGTCTTGAGATCAACTGGTCGATCTCGCAAGTTACCCTCAGTTTTAGGACTCTGGGAGGACCAGCGGTTGTTTACCATTTTCCGCAGTCAACAAATTGGCACACCTGGTGAGACCCAGTGCTAAGAATTGGTCTTGAGCATTTATAAGTGAATGCAACTTAGAAGTGGGAAGTTAACCAAACAATACAATAAACCATTATCTAGGGAGCAAATACCAACAATGAGAAGTCCTGATAACCCAAACGTAGACGAAATACCGTCACGAACTTTAAACACTATCGATCCAATAGTTTCACAAGTAGCGTTTTTGCCTCCAGTAGGGTCGACTGTTGCGGTTTTTGTGCAAATGTCTCAGGCTCTACCGGGAAGCCCAAGACCAGTAATGACTACGACTACTATACCTAACGTGCCTCGTTTTGGTAATGTAGATCCTTCTTATGGAATTTCGTATTCCATGATTCCAGGATATCAATCGACATCGAATACAATAGTGGCGACAGATAATGTTCAAAATTTGAACTCTCCTTTACAAGGATCTGCGCCAGGAGGAAATGATAGAGGCAACCAAAATAGGGTAGCGCCTTCTCAACCCTTAGTATCGCCTCTTACTAATACTTCAGTAGCGATATTAAGACAACAAATGGATGATAGTAATCATGAGTTAGTTAATATGTTAACTAACCAGATGGGTAATGTATTTAATCCCATAGTACAAGAGTCGGATGAGACTAATAGGCAGTCCGCTGAAACAAATTGATAAGTAATTACCCAATTAACACGTTTGTGTAACTTTTTAGGTGCCCCCCAGTGCCTATTTAACAGGCACCACCTGCTCGACTAGATGCCGCTGGTCAAATAGACATGGGGGAAATACATGATGAAACTGTCCATCAGGGACAAATGGTAGTGCCTCCAAGGAATTTGATGGTCAGTCCATCCAGGGTATTAGTAGATCGACATCAGGAGGCTGACCAAATTGTTGAGCAAATGCGACAAGAAAACTTAGCCGTTGAAAATAATTTAACCACCATTGTCGAAAGAATTATGGCCAGAAATGGCATTAATACCGCACTCCAAAGGCCAACATATTCATCCCCTTTGTATGAATATATTTTACAGACTAAAAACCCTAGAGGTTGTAAAATCCCTAAGTATACAAAATTTGGGGGAGAATCTGGAGAGTCGACGGTGGAACATATTGCCAGATATCTAACTGAATCCGGAGATATGTCGAATAATGAAAACTTAAGGGTAAAGCACTTTCCTTCTTCTCTTACTAAGGCGTATTTTACATGATTTACCACTTTACCCCCAAATTCGATTGACTCGTGGACGAAGTTGGAAAAACTCTTCCATGAACAATTTTATGAGGGTCATTCGAAAATTAGTTTGGTCGAATTATTAAACATTAAAAGAAGGTTTGCTGAAACCATTGATGATTATATAAACATATTTAGGTCTTTAAAAGCAAGATGCTTTACTCAAGTTCCAGAAAATGAGCTGGTTCAAATGGCTGCTGGAGGTTTAGATTATTCCATTAGGAAGAAGATAGATCCAACCTTCGTGAAAAGTATGTCACAACTAGGTGATAGAGTTCGACATCTAGAACGTCTGCGACTAGAAAAAGTTAGACATACTAAGTGTTGTACCCAAAAAATTTCCCTCTCACTAATCAAATATTTTCTCACAAAGATCTGTCTTGGTTCAAGACTGCATTAGGTTTGATCAGCTCAAGACACCTCCTTAAGCACTAATGACAAAAATTAGGGTTTGAGATTGCACAAGGATGATTGAACTTTCAATGCTTTATATGACTTTCATGGATCATTATGGACCCCCAATATTACTCATGTCAAGTTTCAAGCCTTGGATCACACTTTTGCTCAGTCATTTGAGCATTTGACCTAAAAATTAGTTGTATTGGGGAAAAAGTCAACTATGGCCAATTTACAGTCAAACTTCATAATTTTTTATCCACATCAATATTATAAACTCATATGTATTATTTGACCAAGTTTGTACCATAATTCCTCAAGAAATTTGATCAAATCATCAAAAGGGCAAAATGGTCAAAAATAGGGTTTTGACTGAGGAAAGGCAATTTCTGATTTTTGACCTAGCAAATGGTAAATTGGTTTGAGGAATGATTTCAAGACTTAAATTGCATCATTTTTACCTAATGTCATGACCCAAAACATTGCTCAAGATCAATTGGATTGATAGTGAATTTTCAGTCAACTGATCAAAAGTCAATTGTACACTGAAAAGTCAAACTTTGACTTTTTGGTCAAAATCCAATGTCAAAGATCACAATTCATCAAAACATGTCAAAATATGAAACTTATTCATCAAGAAATAAAAAATTCAAGATTTCATTTTGAAAAGTTAAAGTTTTCTAACTTAGAAATTTTTCTAAGTGTTTAAAACTTCATGTTTTTTCATAACTTTGAGCCAATTTTTCACCATGATACAAGATGATTCAAAAGAAACTTTCAATATGAAAGTTGTAGATATACATGATATCTATAACATTTCTTCACACAACTTCTAAAAATTCTTGGATCTCAAGTTATTAATTCATAAAGTCATGGTCTTAAAATTGAACACTTAGTGAAATTTTGCCCTGATTTTGGTCAGGATTTTGACCTAACTTCATGGCATTTTTTCATATAGTTCCAAGTGGAATTTTCAAAAGTGATTCAAAGAAGGGTTATAGAGAACATTACAAGCTTTCCAAAATGTCCAAGAATTCCTTGAGATCATTCTTGAGCAGGGATAATCGAAGAGAGGAAGTTAGGGTTTTCAAACTTGAATTACAAGACATTTCATGATGAACAAGAATTCAAATCCAAGCCTATGCTGCATAATCTTCACTTTGCAGGCCTCAAACTTGTTTGTCACTCCATAATTAAATTTTTACATAACATATGGAGCCATTGTCCAAGCATTTGAATTATTATCCAAGTTGCATTTCCATTTTTGGAAGAAAGTAACCATTCCACCCTTATAAAGGAGCTTTGCACTTGTTCTTTCATCACAAGCATGCT